CCCCCCCCTTCCCAGAGATGGTGGAGAGGGAACCGTCATCAACTCTCATCTTATCTTGGCCAGACATCAATTGGTAAGAAGAAAATAAAGAGGACATGTGTGTGATGTGGTCAGTTGCACCGGAATCAATAATCCAAGAAGTAGAGTCTATAGAACTAGTTGTGCTATAAGCAAAGATAATACCTGATCTGGCAAGAGAAGTGGAAGCAAGGGAATTAGTCCTTAGACGGGTTAGGGCCCGGCTAAGGACCTCTACCTCATCAGCAGTGAGACCCAAGGACCCGGATGTGGAGGAATTAGCAGTCTGTCCCATGGGAGAAGATGCAACTATAGATGTGTTCTTCGAGTTATCACCACTGTGACTAGTAACATGGTTCCCAATTGCTGTTTGATTTTTCTGGGGCTTTTTGTCTTTCCTTAACACAGCTGGTTTCAGATGAGGATAAAGAACCCAAYAAGTCTCTTTTACATGCCTTTCAGCATCACAATGAGACTTTCCTTATTTGTCATCTATAGGAGTTACTCTTAATTCTCCATAATATATTTATCTCTAGTTCTATTCTTCTATGTTTTCCACTCATCCATCTTGATATGCATCTTTACCACACAATTTTTTTGGACATGTTGCTTCTCGACTGCCTAGCACTTTGCTCTATATAACATTTACTGCTTTATAGCTGTCTCATAAAAACTTCCCTCTAACGACTGGTTTTCTTTGATCACATTATTCTAAGAATGAACTCTATTTCATCCACCCTACTCTAACTCAATGTATAACATCCTTTTCAATCTTTTTCTTGTTATGCATAACCAGACCAAGGTAACAGGAATGGTCTCTGAGGTATCTCTTGTTCTCTAGTTGTAATTGTTTCCAGATTCTCTTTCCTGGTATTCCTACAATTTTCATTGCTTATATACGTACTCCTGCTTATTTTTTTGATACAAGCATCACTTAGAGGCATGAGATGCAACCTCTTCCGAAATTGAAAAGAAAGTGCAGATTATAACTGAGCCCAAAATAATTGTTCCCTTGAGACCCCTTGCTTAGATAATATTTCAGCCATTGCATTTAGCTGACCTCCCAACTCAATGAATGCTCAGTCATATTCCTTGTCAGCCATTTATATTTCTTAATTTCATCCCTATAGCACCAAGCTACAGACTCCAGATCCTTCAGTTGTACTCCTGCTTATTTTAAAACCTCTTGATTTTAGGGCATCTCTCTATGTTTCTAATTTTGCATTCAATCCTAGATTTGTTAATCAAATGATCAATACTATGTCATCATTGAATATCCTCCTTTACATGCTTGGTCAGTTCATCCATGACTAGTGCAAACAAATACGGGGTAAGGGCTTACACTTGGTCATGGCCCATTGTACAATGCCAGTTAGGCACCATATTTATATTCTCAGGTTAAATTATCCACTTTGGGCGCCTATCTATTTCAAAATAGACCGTATTATCTCCCTAGAGAGACTATCAAACACTTTCTCTATTGTCAATGATTAGCATGTGAAGGCCTGTGGTAATTGAAAAATATAGAATTTGTCCATGTGTTTAAACACCAAACGTTGCACCATAATACATATTCTTAGGTTAATTTATCCATTTGGGACTCCTGCCTATTTCAAATTACACCATATTATCTCCCTTGAGAGACTATCATAACTTTCTCTAATGTCGATGAATAGTGTGTATATATTTTTTCTTTTCCCAAGATATCTTTAGCAATGCCTAAGTAAAAAGGTGTGCAATCATAGATTTGGATGCAGAGGGACCTTTTAGTTTTTTTTTTTTTTTTCCTTTGCACCTTCCTTTTCTAATCATGGTTTCACATCTAGCAACTTATTTTTTAGTTACTATTTTCAGGCAATACCCATAAGTGCCTCTTATGTGAATTTTGTATGAACTAGCTGACTGACTTGCCGTGTTCTTGTTTTTTCTTTTCTTTTCCCAAAACTTGAAATATGATAGGAATTGGGACCACTTCAAGGTTGAAGCAGTTGGGAATGGAATTCACTGTCTGGGTATTTAAACATGTAAGTACTTTGGCTTAGGAGGAACCTGTTTCCTTTGTACGCATACACACACATTCCCTCTGTTTGTTTGCAGTGTGAATTTCATTTGCACTAGTTTAAATGCAGGGAAGTGCAAAAGCTGAGTGTAAATTCTGGTTTTCTTTTGCTTCAAATTTGTTGCTGTCATGTTTGTTGCAAGAAGTAAAATGATGTGGTCCCCACTTTATAAATTGAGATAGGAGGAAGGCTATATTTTTGGGATGAGAAGGGTGGGAAGCAACTGAGCTGGTCCCTACTTTATATGAGGGTGAATCAAGATTCAAGATAGGGGGAAGGTGGTGCAAATTTTGCACAAGTTTTTTGATGTAAAATTTGCACTTCCAGTGAGTGCAAATGAGACAAAAAGTGAAAGTTTTGCACAGGTAGGAGAACAAATCATAGTAACAAACAAAGAGGTGTGACTGGATGCAAAATTCGTATCTGGTTCAGATTTGCACTGCAAACAAACAGAGCATAAGGCTCAGTTTGCAGTGTGTATTTTATTTGCACTGGTGTAAATGCATGGGAGTATACAGAGGCTGAGTGTAAATTCTGATTTACTTTTGTTTCAGATTTAATTTGTTTTATTTATTTTGAGAAGTAAAATGATGTGGTACTCACTTTATATGAAAGGGAATGGAGGTAGGAAGGAATTATTTTTTTTGGGGAATGAGGTAAGAAGCAAGATGTTGTGTTACCCACTTTATAATTTTATATGAGAAGGAATTGATGTAGGTGGAAGGTGGTGCAAATTTTGCATCAGTTTTTGGGAGGCAAACATTGCACTGCCATTGAGTGCAAATGAGACGGTACAAATTTTGAATCAGGTAAGAATGCAAATCATGGTTACATACAAAAAGATGCAAAATTGATCTGGGTGCACCTGTTCAGATTTGCATGCAAGCAAACAAGCCTAAGGCTCAGTTTGGAAGGACTGCATATACAAATATGTACAATGCAAGCACATATAAAATAATACAAAATACAAGGTTTTGCACTCTACAAATTTGTATTTGTACTCTTTCCAAACTGAGCCTAAAGATTTCGTGTGGTCAGTGTGAAGCATACCACCTTTTGTGAGTAATATCACCGGAAATTACAAATTTGAATTATCAGCATGTCTGTGTTTAATTATTACAAGCCTCCAAAGTTATAATTCATTTTCATTTAAATGCCAAATAATGAAATGCTCCAAATGTATGTTTCTTTCTATATGCTTCAGTCTATGTGTATCTATTTTCCATGATGTCTGTTGACTGCCTGTATGTGGGCTGGGTCAGGCTTCTGGGTAGAGCTATAAATGATAACCCCTATTATTGCTGTTAATTGCCAGAAAGATGTTCGTTCATGACTAGCATTGTTTTGTTGGAATTTAAATGGCATACACCAAAGATACATTACATGGTTAATTGCCAGGAAGACATTTTCCTGGCTAGCATAGAAAGATGTTTACTAATATATTCTTATTCTTTTTTATAATCCCACGTTTTAATATATGGTTTCTGCCTTTCTGGACCATACTTGCAATGGGTGCCACCCATGAGCAGTGTATTCTTTTTCCTAAATACTTATCTCTTGTGGTTTATTTACTGCAGGCAGTATTGGATCAACTGAAGGTTATGGGCCCTGTTATATTGAGCGGTATTTTGAGGTCACTTGATAGTTCAAGTGCAGAATCAGGTCCAAATTATTTTAAGCAGTTAATGTTTCCTTAGCATTTGAATTTCTTTTGAGGGAGAAGATAAAGTATAGTATCATCAAGTGAAAGCCAAAAAGCATGTGCAACTAGTTGCTGCACCTAGGGATTATACAATAGATGCCCATGCAGCCCTATACCCAAACCTGCTTTACAAAAAGATTTTCATGTAAAAAAAAGGAACTGTAACTTATATGTTTAAACATTTTGTTCATGGCAAGTGAAGAAAACAATTTTCCCAAAATTCTATGAAACACTGAGTCTATAGTGTTGCTTTTGTTCCTGAAGATCCTTACATTTCTCTCCTGCCAGATGCACCAAAAAAACTGCTGCAGGTGCAACATTCAAGGCCAATTTTCCTTAGCATTTGATTTTCTTATGCATTTGATTGTTTTCAGCACCAAGTCCACATTATTTTATGCAGTTAATCTTCCTTACATTTGATTTTCTTTCATTCCTGATTGTGTTCTTGTTTATATCAAATTCATGCAGAAGCTTCTATTTATTATAGGTTGGGTCCTGAGAATATTACCTAATTAGGATATATCTCTACATTTGTACAGATGCAACTTCTAGGGATATTAAAACTTTTGCCTTTCAAGCAATTGGTTTGCTTGCACAGCGGATTCCCCAACTTTTCAGGCATTCTTTCTTACCTATGTTTTATTATGTTACCTTAGCTCCCTATGATTTGATCAACATAATCTGAAGGTCTTGGTCTCTCTGCTTCTCCCCTCTGTCTGTCTCTCTCAAACACTTTGTGTGCTTATGTGTCTTTTTCAGAGACAAGATTGATATGGCTGTTAGACTTTTTGATTCTTTGAGAGTGGAGGATCAGTTGTTACGTCTTACCATTCAAGAAGCAACCACTTCACTTGCTATAGCTTACAAGGTATCTCTTCTCTGGTTTTCTTTTTCCTTCTTCATTTTTGGCCAAAAGTTTACAAGATCGTAGATTTTAGAAAAGAAAGATAATACACACACAATAATGTGGAGGGAGAGGTGAAATTGCATGGAAAAAGAGACCGTGGAAGAAGGATAATCCCAAAAGACTGCTATAACCTGAATCTCGCAGAACATAAACTGAAAATTATTGGTTTTTTTTTTTTTTTTTTTGAAAAGCGGTAAAAATGATTGTATTGAAATAACTATAAGAGGGTGAGTATTATATACAAAAGGTGCCTATATATGCACAGGAGCATATAAACTGAAAAATTATTTGTTAGGGACTTAGCATCGTTCTTAGGATTCTCACAAATATTGAAATTTTTCTATGTGAGACCCTCTTATATTCTCTTGTGAGAAAGTAACTGAAATGTATGCTAGTAAGTGCTGACTGATATGCACATGGAAGGATGTACAACAATGTATTGCAAAGGGAAAACAAGTTGGGATCCTTTCCTTAAAGAAAATGAATCCCTTAACAGGCAAAGAGCTGTTATTGCACACACAACAGAAGAGAAGACAATGATCCGCCACTAGAACCCACTGAGTGATTCTTGAGATGTCATCCTCAGTCTCAACAACGTCATTAATGTACACTATCAACATATTCATCCGGCCATCAACTCTTCTTATGAATAAAGTGTGATCAACTTGAGATTGGGAGAATCCAGCCTTCAAGGCAACATTTCTAAATCTGTCAAACGAGGCTCTAATTGATTGCTTGAGTCCATGCAGAGACTTCTTTAGACGGAAAACTTTCCCTTTATGGTTAGGGAAGCTCACTCTTGGAGGTAGGTTCATATATATATATATATATATATATTTCTTCTTCTAGATCCCCATACATCCATTTGATATAGAGGCCAATAGTAGTGGGCAAGGAGACATACACAAGTAGAAGTCATTTTAGCCACAAGAGCAAATGTCTCCAGATAATCAATGCCATAGGTCTGAGTATACCCTTTGGCCATTAACCATGCCTTATATCTCTCAATTGAACCATCTGCCTTATGTTTAACAATATACATCCACTTGTACCCAATGGGAATCTTGTCCTTGGGAAGAAGAACAATCTCCCAAGTCTAGTTCTTTATGAGGGTCTCCATCTATTAGTTCATAGCTTCCTTCCAGTGAGGGGATTGCGTTGCCTTTGTAACACTACAAAGAATGGAAATAGAAGATATGGTAGAATTATAGGTAAAATAGGAGGGTGACAAAGTGTTATAAGAAACATAGTAATGGGATAACTGGTGCATTTCCTCTTTCCCTTATAGATGGCAATAAGGAGATCAAGGTTAGGATTCATGGCATCAGGTTTAGTAATAGAAGAACTAGGGGACTCAAGATGAAGCAGAGATGCAAGTTTAAGATTACCTGAGCCCGAGTGTTTAGATTGTGATGGACATTCAGTTTCAAGAGTCACCCTCTTTGCCTGATGAAGAACTATTGCCATAACTAAGGCAGATACATAGACATAGGAGGAGGAGGTGAAAGGTAACTTTCTTATACACATGCCCTTCCAAAATGAGGACCAAAACATCTATAGCCATTTTGAACAAGAGAATAACCAAGGAAAAAACATTAGATGGACTTAGGATCAAATTTATGCCTAGAGGGACTCATATCATGAAAAAAGTAGACATACCCAAAAATATTTGTTGGCTAAGTATAAAAGATTTTTTTTTAGTTGGAACAGCAATAAAAAAATAATAATCAAATATCCATTCTGCTTTGAAAAGCTTTACCAACAATGCTACCCCTTTATAATGGGGAAGAGTCGATTACAATAGCATTCTACAAGGAAAAAGTAAGTTGACTTGCAATAAGAAACTTAAACCAACTTCAAAAAAGAACTAAAACTTATTTGGGCTTCTAAGGGATGTACTGCATCAACTTGCCACTATCTCGATTCTATTTATGTTTGTGGTGCTGGTTCTTTGGAAAATTCTGATCAAGGTTGAAGGCATATGAATGGATTAAAAAGCTGAGCCAAAATTCAATCTTTCGGTTTCTTTAAATTCTGGATGAACCTTTAACCGATCCAAAATTAGGGATCCAATACCAGTGCACGGTCCTCTATAATTACACTCTTTTGTGGCTTGTAGCTTTTTTGAATTGATCATCTCCTTTTCAGTGATAATTTCCTTCTTGGTTTTTTGTGGATCCTTGTGTCTTTGTATGATTGTTGTTCCTTGAAATAGGGAGCTCCATCAAATGTGTTAGAAGATCTGGAGTCACTTCTGCTGAAGAATTCCCAAGTTGTAAGAACCTCTTGCATATATATTTTTTTTTATTTTCATTTGTTTGGAATCCTGATTTGGATTTTGTACTTGTTATTCTTCTATTATTTTGTGGTCTTTTTGGTGCTATTTTTATGAGGTCTAAAAACAATGACCTGTGACATTACTTTCATAAAATGAACATTGTTTTCATTGAAAACTTCATGCTCTTTAATGGGCTTTTATTGTCTCTGTAATGACAAGGAACAAAGTGAAGTGCGTTTCTGTGCTGTGAGGTGGGCAACATCTTTATTTGAACTACAGCATTGTCCAAGTCGTTACATTTGCATGCTTCGGGCAGCTGATTCAAAGCTGGATATAAGGTAACTCTAGTTCCCTTTGTGGTGTATTCCAAAATTAAGTTCTTTTTTCCTAGTTCCCTTAGTGTTCTTTATTATTTGAGTATTCAATTCTTAAGGTGTATGAAGTATGGGGTTAGTTTAGGAGTAAAAATTATGATAAGGGACTTTAATGGAATGTCGGCCCCATTGGGAGTTTTACTGTTATTTTGGATAACTTTAATATTATATAAAGAGTCTCTTTCATTAGAGGGGGACAGATTGGTGTTTGGTGTTGTTAAATCACCGATGTCTACTCTTGTTTCTTCTTTCTTTTTAATTGTCCATGACAAGATTGCATTAGACCAACAGGAAGATGACTTTGACACTAATGAAGATATTGATAGTGTTCAAATCTGTTAGTCAACTTTGGATCTATTAATCAAGTTCCTCCTGTGTCTTGGAAATCTGTTCTTCTGTAGTTCATCATTCATTGTTCATGGTATCATTCAATTAGTTCTTGTTTGTTATTTGAGATTTTAGGATTTTAGTCAGTCTTGTTAGCTTCTTTTTGGTGAAAAAGTCTTATTTTTTGATCTCCCTATTTTTAATATTAGTCTATTCTCTTGTGGTTCTTGTCTTCATATTTAATTTTGCTATAAACAGTAAGCCTTGATTTTACTATAAATGATATTTATGAGAATTACTATAAATACTGATCAGAGAAATTATAATGGTAGTAATTACAGGAATTACTACAAATGGTACATCCAAAATGAGTTGAACAATGATACCAGAAAAAACTTATAACTAATCAACCAATATCATAAAATGGTTTCCAGATCCAATGACACACGTTTTATTTGATTTTGTGAAAAAATTGAGTGAGCACTTCCTATTTCTCCCCTTCTCTATTAACCCTAATAGGATGTTCTCCCATATTTCACACCAGTGTTATTAACTTTTGAAAGGCACTGGAGGTGTATGCCTGGAGGGTCACCTCTATGTGAGGTGCTTAGAAAATGCATGGAGGTACACTGTATAGGCATAGAGATGCTTTTATATTTTTTTACCTTTCAAACTAGTTTTTTAATAAAGATGTTAAGTTAAAGTGGGGGAACCATTTTATTGTATTCCTTTATATATTAACATAATACTGGGGGTGAAAACCCTCCAAATTTGTTTATTGTAGTATTTCAATAAAATGTTATAAATAGAAATGGGGTACCATAGTTCTGATTTGTTTTAATGTGTTACATTCATAGGAATATGAGATGACATACTTGTTTACAATTAATTTTGCACAATTTATGTTAATTGTTAATTCTAAAATTTTGATTTGCAACTTTGCAAGTGATATATTATTGATGGCTGATGAGATAATGAATATATAATTAGAACTTGCAAATATGAGCTATTTTCTCATAAATTTTCCTATTTTTATGGAATATTTACTATATTTTTTATTTATCATATCTTTATTTTAGTTATTTATTAACTAAATAAATTCATCCCTCCATATTTTAAGATTTTTGATGATCAAAAGTTGATACTTTAGAGAACAATGGATCCTTCTGGTGGTGGTTTTACCAGAATATAGATTCTTATCTCGTTTCTAGTTGCAATAGGTTTCTATTGGCTTCATGAGATGATGCAAATATGGAAACAAAGAAATGGAGGACAAGTGGTCAGTTGGCAAGTTGCTAAATGCACTACTGACCAGTAAAGACAAGACTATTTAACCAGTCAAACCTTGGTTGACTTGGCTGACATTTGGTGTTTGTATACTTATAATGCCTAAATATTCATCTTAATTCGACAACTGGGAGTTCCCCAACTAAGGCTTCAAATGACTGATTTTTGGGTTCTTTAGGTCATGGTCAAAGTCAAAGTCAACTGGTTGACCTGTGGATCCCATTGGCATTTGTAGTAATTTCCATAATTACTAATTATAGTTAATTTCCTAATTACTATTTATAGTGAAATCACATTTTACTATTTTTAATAATTTCTGGTTCTTTATATGAAGTTAGTTTTAGTAGAATTAGAAAGTGATAAAAGTGTTGTAGTTTGAAAAGGAAGTTTCTATTTCTTTTGATGTCTGAATACAAGTAGGAGTCAGAATAAAAGTACAAGTGCAAATTTGTTGATTTTTGGTTTATAAAAGAGCATTAGAAGTTCTTGTAGAGAGCATCATATACTATTCTATTCTATTGTTTTTCCTTATAAGGAGTGAATAAAGAGTTTTTTTTTTTTTTTTTTTTATATATATATATTTCTACCATAACCAACAGCTATAGTAGAAGTTATTCTTGTTTCCCCTTCTATTTTATCTTCTTTATTTGCTTGCCAATACTTTTGCCTGAAGCTATTGTTGATTATTAGAAATTTCCTGCTTGATAAGGTGAGTCTGTAGATTTGAACCTTGTTATTGTAAATGGTATGAGAGAAGAGAAGATGAGAGAGATGGTTTATATTAGCACTAGAAATACCTAAGTTACAAAGTAGTCCTCACTCCTCAATGAAGAAGACATTGTATCAAAATCATTTATTATAACTATTCTTCCCAAAATACCCCCTTGGTCCCTTTCTTTATGATAGTATGGTTTGAACACACTAACACTCCCTCAAGCTAGCACCAGTTAGCATGCCTGAAATTAACATTGTCATCTTGGTAGTAATCAAAGTTCATAATATTAGTATCAAGTATTGTATTAGTAAGGTTGGGTACGGATACAAATACATATATGCTTTGGGAAGACATGGAATGCTAAGATATATTAGGGAAATTCCTATAAATCCCACAAATACATTATTAACACCAAATATAAGGTTCAAATAAATATGAATAAGGTACAAATACATAATAAATGCACACTTTAATAGTTTATACAAAGAGATACATTATAATTGTTAGTATCAGGAGTCTAGAACATGTAGATATCATACAACAACCTTACTAATAATACATCAAACAATGCTCGAGCTTTCAATTCACTGAAATAAATTATTTTAGAATCATGAATATCATTTAAGAAGTATAATTAAATTATTTTGTATTTTTGATTTTTCTTTTTTTTTTTTGGAAAAATGCATAAGTCTAATAATGATCACAAAACTAACCGCAAATCTCCATATTTTTGCAATTGGAATCGCAAAATACATATCAATTGAACATGAATGATTTTCTACAAAAAAGAGAACATGGATGATTAAATAAAAAAATAAAATTAGAAAGGAAAAAGCTTCATCCTTGGAGACATGCAAAGGGAGGGAGTGACTAGTTGAGAGAGTAAGTAGAGAAGGATGTATATTTGGAGTTAGGGGTCATGGATGTCATGGATAGAAGAAATAAAGTACAGAAGGAAATGAACTGCAAAGATGGAGGCAATAACAGTTTCATGAATCAGATTTAACTAAAGGATAACAATACAAAGGAAGAGGGTGAAGTGAGATCAATAGGAACCCGGGAGGAAAACCTTGTGTAATGGCCTAATGATGCCAATACCGAGAGAATGATTGGAAGAGTTCACATCCAAGAGAAAAATGAGGTGATAGGAGAGGTAACTGTAATGAAACCATAGAGAGTCTTCAGGCTAAATTGAACTCTTAAGTCTTCAGGCTAATAGATTAATGTAATGGGGAGTTCTGAAGAGCTCAAGAAGGCCATTACTTTAGGGAACCATGGAAGGCAGCTTCGTGGAGGCAGGGAGGTGGAGAAGAAAGCTGAAGGTTGAAGCTAAGGATCTCTGGTTTGAGGAAGTTGGAGTCCAAGGCAAGCTGATTTTAAAGATAAGGGAAGGATGAAGAGCTATGGTTTTCGTGACTGGGGCAGAAATAGTGGAATGGTTTAGGAAATTTGTGGAAGAAGCAGGTTTAAAAAGCAAGCAAAGCATTAAGCAAGAGGTTGGAATAGAGGAAGGTTAGACTTATATAGTCGAAAGCAGGAAGAATACTGTTAGTGTTCGGTCTGCCTGTTAGACTGATAACAGTCAAGAAAGAGAGAGAGAAGGGAGAAGGAGAGAAAGAGAGAAAGGAGAAGAGAAGAAGAGAAACAAGGAGAAAAGATTCTGGTTCGAATGAGAGAAAAAGTTCACTCTCCCATTCGGCCAGATGTATTTTATATTACTAAAATAATGTGGAAAAGTCACATATGCCCCTACTTAAGTTAGGGACATTAAATCTAACATAAACTTACACATCAGCACCTAAACACAAGCACAAAGACAAAATTACCCCTACATACTTGACACTAACACTCCCCCTCAAGCTGGAGAGTCTATATCATATAATCCCAGTTTGTTACATGTGTAGTCCACTCTCCCCCGACTCAACCCTTTAGTAAACAAATCTACCCACTGGTTTCCTGTGTTGACACATGCTGTGTCTATCACTCCACTCAGCACCTACTCTCTAACAAGGTGACAGTCAACCTCTATGTGTTTGGTTCTCTCATGAAACATCGGATTAGAGTAAATGTGAACTGCAGCCTGATTGTCACAGTAGAGCTTCATTGGAGTATCAATAGTGTATCCCATCTCCTGTAGAAGGTTCCTTAGCCACACTAATTCACAAGTAGTATGTGCCATAGCTTTATATTCTGCCTCTGCATTGCTTCTTGCCACAATTGTCTACTTCTTTCTTTTCCATGTCACCAGATTACCCCCAAGAAAAGTGCAATAGCCTGTGGTAGATCGCCTATCAGATACAGAACCGACCCAATCGGCATCAGTATATCACCATGCAAGAAGGCATTCTTGATATCAAGCTGATAGAGGGGCCAATCATACATCGCAACAAGAGAAATCACAACACGGATTGAACCAATCTTAGCAACCGAGGAGAAAGTCTCTGTGTAATCAATACCATAGGTTTGGGAATACTCTTTGGCAACCAATATAGCTTTCAGCCACTCTACACTACCATCAGGTAAGTACTTAACCGTATAAACCCACTTACAGCCAACAACCTGCTTACTAAGAGGAAAAGTGGTGAGTTCCCATGTATGATTATGAGCCAGAGCTGTGAGTTCTTCCATCGCACGA